TATTCAGGATTTGTGTATGACCGCATGGTTAAGCCTATATCGATAAATATAATTATATGCTAATCTAATCACTCAGCTAATGAATCACCTTTTATTTGAGCATCAGACCATCTGATAACATCCATGTATTCCATAATTTGCAACTTAGCTGACTGGTGTAATATCAACCATTCAAAAAGCTAAACAACCCTCAAACACAAACTTTTCAATATTTTTCTTGTACCCCACACTACAAAGCAAAGGAATTCTCTCGTAGCATCGCTTGATAATCCGCCATAAAGCGGGCCATGCAACAGCACAAACTCTCAAACATAATTGTACTTTACAACCCATACAAATGGCAACCGGTTATGTGGATGCTTTCTTTAACGATGCCTTGCATTGGTTTCTTAATCAACAATTTTGACGTCTGCCATGGCAGTCCGCATGCACACCGCCAGGAGGTGCCCTGTACCGTATGTCCATATTTGCACGATGCTAATCAAACCACATTTCTCGTATAAACCCAAACGAGAGAAAGATAGACAATTCTATTCAATATCGCACAGCAGTACGGCGGCGTCTGTTTAATAACAATAATTGCTGTCTATATGCAGTTTATTTTCTCTAGCTCGAGGTTTTACAATCCCAGTAGTCTGCTGTATGCACAAGCATCGGTTATCAAATAGCGTGTGGACATGGAAAACCATAATAAGAATACGTACACAAAAACCTAACCAATATCGGAATGTTAAATTGTCATGGCTGATTAATTAATAACTGATTAATAACCGTAATGCCCGCAGTAGTTAAGAGAACGCAGCCTCGGATTTCATATCCGAGATACTTCTCACGGTCGGCTAAACTAAAAACCGGACGGAAATAAATATTCCACAAAATTGCAAGATTTTTAATAGTGGCCTTTATACGTCGGATTGCTTGACTGACTCCAGGGAAATGCTTTTGTTTTAAAACAGTGTGTCAAATTTACAGGCAATGTGGGTCAATCCGGTTTGTTAAAAAACATTTACGCTTCAGTGCCCGTTAAACGGTTCCCAAATGACTCACTATTTGCCACCGTATCGCCAGTATTTCTAATTTTTCATCTAGTAAATCAAACCAATCCGCTATTCTATTAAATTTTTAAAGTTTAAGCAGGTCAGGCTAAGGATCGAATTATATGCGTTATTAACTGGTCTGCGGTACTTAAACCAAATTTTACATAATATACAATTACATAAGCCACTATCTATTTTATTTTTAAGACTGATCATGCCATATACTGTAAGTTCATTATCCATACGTTACGGGCATATGCAATTTCGTAAGCACGCGCTGTACTGTTACTGTATTAGTTAGCAAAATTGATTTAAACTTCGGTATGTACTAGCTTTAAGGGAGACCGTCATGATGTTTATTCACAATAAAAGTGGGTAACACATGGGACTGGGTGAGTGGCGTTTGATCTTTTGTACGGTTAAATGGCGGGACCATTAAGAGCCATATCGCTACAACCCGTTGAGCGCACATAGTCTATCCTTGTCCCTTGATGCAGCCGGTGCAGCAGATGCAACTCGCTTATTATCATCCGTACCTGCCACGATCAACGCGGGATATCCCAGTCAAACGTTAACACTATTGTCTTCCTGAACTACTTGGCAGTTTGTAGGGAGCACTCTCGTGTTACACCTGGATACCATTTTTCCTCTCCCATGATTCCATATCACTAGCCTCTTTTAAACTAAAGGAGCGCGCACATTGTTCCGGGTAAAATTATCAGAATGACAGAATACATATAATTCTGTATACAGACTATTTGTACCATAAAAGTGACCACCAACTGTCAAAACTTTTATTCGCACTCGTACATATGCACCACAATGGACCTGCAGCTCTGACACATTAACATAAAAGATACATCCATCTCGGTATGGATGCTGATTCTTCCTTTTGCAGCGAGCAGACGCCTAATCAGTGACCACTGGACGCTAAATTTCTGGTATCATCTGCAAATCTAGCGGGTCATAACTCTATGGAAATTAACAAAAGAATCCACACAAGATGCGTTTGATGGAAGCAATCACAGACATCGTGTCTCTTGTCAAAACCCCTTCTCTTTTCTCTCTAACAGAGAATACTGACCAGTCGGCGTAAGAATCTTCACTATAATGGATTACACGAGAATAATTATAGGGCTATCTGTGACTGCTCAACATCAAGTATCTGCCGAATATCTCCAACAGCTTAAGAATGCGGCTATCTCATCACAACTGTCTTCTGCCCTCTTGAGACGAATGATTACTGATCGCTGGCACCAGAACGATCCCCCAGCTGAAAACACAAATTAAAACAGCATCCGTAATTCTAATCCAACTGACCGGTAACTATTTTAAGAATGAAGAACCCATGGAAAAAGTTATGTTTCTATGCCTCTAAAAACGACCGAATTTCTCGATTATCAAAACTTCAGAGAAGGCCAAAAAGGCAGTTCGCAGAGACAGGATACGAGATTTCCAGACATGCTTCAAAGAGGCAATCGTGATCATGGTCAGATCACTCCATCTTAAGCAGTGTCAGCACAAAGCGTGATGAACGCACCAAAGCAATCTGATCACTCTACTCTTGCTGCCCACCAAATACCGCTGCAGTCCAACACACTAGCCTTCTCAAATTTCCGGTGGCCCACTAGGCTCAAACTGGGCTCGAAATCTTGGGCTATATAAATAGGTCTGAATGCGTGTACAAAGGCGAAAATGTTGCCCAGAGGTCTATCTCAAGTGCTTATCTACCAAGACCAACCAAGCGTTTCGTAATGTTTCGTAAATGGACTGTGTATAAGTTGCCGCAATCGGAATAACACGAACACCGATACTAGTAAGCAGTGCAGACCTATACACAGTTTACCACGCAATTATCAAATCTCACTAAAACTCTTCAAATCAGAATAAATACTTTCTATGATGCCCTAGTTTACGAAAACATTTGTTCAAGCCACGAGGCAAAGCTCTTTCGAACCACGGAAAAGTTCAGAGATAAAACCAAAGCGTTTTCTATAACATCACGCCTTATTATTTTCGTGTCTTATTTAGGAATATATATCTAACTAAGAAACTAAGAATATAACGGGTAACAAAATGCTTGAAAAATACGTACTCAGTAAATGACCAAACCATACTGTAGTTACTCGAAACGTATGACCAGGCTTCTGCATTTTGAAGAAATCTTTACGGTTTCTTGTGATCCATCTGCTGCTTACTAATGAGAAACCCAGAATCCAGACGTCGCTAACAAGATCTTTCATCGTAAAAATAATGAATGGTGCTGGTGCGATAATTGGGTAGGATCGTTTCAGTTACATTGGCGTGCACACGCGTCCTCGTACAAACACACGCATCTGCAATGTTTATTCTCTCCTTTTACGCTTTTTCCGTACAAAAACAGTTAGCGGGACTCTGCAGCCGGCGAACAAAAGCCGAGAGGAATAAAGAGGACAGAGAAACTATGGGTGAAGCTCGTTGCCCTCGAATAGCACACGGGGTAAACATGGAACAATTATATTTCGCTGGCAATTAACATAAAAGTAGTGGCCCACTGTTAAATATACACAAACGTTAACGTAGTGGACTAAGCCGCTGAATGGGCAGCCATATATCAGTCATTTGCCGGTTGTAAGAGAAAAAAATCGATCCCCACAATTCCTTTATTCAATCAGTTTTTCTTCGGCTTTCTAACCGAATGCGAATGGATCGACAAATTCAATCCAATTGACATGTTCACTTTGTGAAAATTAGTTTGCGCCAGTTTTTTGTCCGTGCACTGGCCACGGCTTTAACTCTTCGGATTACGACATCATGGTGATCTATCTTTGCCTTTGAACGGCAACTGCGCAACGCACACATACACCGGGACGAAAAGTATGTTTGACAAGATACATAAAAGAGGGATAGATGACTATCGATTTGATTGTCAAGACCTCTGTTTGTACAGTGCCCGGCTGCTCTTCATTTTACAGATGGTTTTTGTGTTTGTTTATTTCAATCAACGTAAACGGCTGCCACTCTCCATCTCTGATCGCTACTTCGTCATGATCAGCCAATTCCCAACAGTATACAAGCCCTGATCGGTTAACCATGAAATTAAAACACAATTTGCTACAGCTAGAAAAAAATTATGCTATTATCCGCGCTTATCATCCAAAACACATCATTCGGCACGCACGGACGGGATAACTACAGGCGCTGCTTTTAATCCGGCTTAGAGATGTTTTGTAGCTGCTACCATGCATTTGAATTGTGAATAGACGCACAGTTCTCGCAATCATATTTTAATAAGGGCTAACAAATTATTGTATTCGCACCTAATTCGATTATATTATTTTACGCTATTTACTGTGCTCCTGGCTACCGCAGTCCGCACTGTAATTCCTGACAAAAAACGAAACACCAATATCGATCAGGTGTGGTTAGATTCTGAAAAACAGCCGAGAGAAACCTAAATTTCCACAAGCGCCTCGTCCACAAAATTAGCAATAAGTTAATAAACAGTTAGTTTTTCCAATCAGTATCAGTGGCAACATCACGGATAATAACATCTGCCGTACGAGTATGCTCAGTATGAACTGACGGTCAACTGGATTGCAATCACTGATTTCCTATGCACCACCAGCAATGCAACTACGGAACATTTAGAATTGGGCGATATCATTACACGAGGAATTTCAGTACACCAGCATTAAATTAGCGAATTTTTAATCAGCGTGGCTCTTCGTTCTTAGCCATTGTCCGTTTATCGCCACCACGTTTAGGAATGTGCTGGAAAATGCAGAATAGTAACATCACTTGAGCTAGATACCGTGGAAATAAAAAAGCCGATAAGCTGTATGCCGGTAACTCATGTTTACTATCCGCTGCCCTGGATATTTATTCCCTCTGACTTTTCTGGCTCAACAAAACTATCCCAAACAAATTGATTATCAACTTATTCCAACAGAGTTGCGCAGGGAACACCCATTAATTACTTACCGAAATGATGAAAAATTCCGAACAGCAGAAGGAGTACAGAGGAATGAAGAGATCGGAGAGAAAGATGAGGGAGACGAGACGACATCTTCGATGTTAGAATATATGGACGATAGATTGACGGCTCCATTCCAAACGCTACAAAATCATTACCGTCTTGTTCTCCAAGATACTACGGTAAACATACATGAAATCGGTGAGATATGCGAAAAATCTACAAGATTGCGCTTTATTAACGGTCTTGTAGCCTGCAGTCTTAAACCAATTAAAACGAACTGGTTAGTCAAAGGCAGAACTGTCTTGTGAACGAGAAGAAGAATCTATCACAAAATAGCATTCGCAAAATTTACAACACCGCCAACATGTTGACCATTCCCCTTGTGGCTAGCATGCGTTTGCTCAGTGAAACTTCGCTAAAGCGCCATTAACCAATGTGAAAGCCAGCGCTGAAGGCAGACCGGCTGGTTTTTCCAAAGAAAACTGTACCGGGAACTGGCAGTCACTATACTGCACTATGCTATGTGCTATGCCGGTTCACATCGATGCATCTCAAATGCGCCGCCCAAGCCGCATTACGTGCAATCGGCTAGCTAACAATACTTCCGACGTGAGGAAAGAACGCCCATAACACATCTTAGACCAATGGTCCTTTGACGGTACGTATAACGGCGTCACGATGGTTTACAAAAGTGTCTACTGTCTAGTACTTTCTACAAAACTCATTTGACGTGCCTACAATGTATCGTAGTACACTGGCTTATCACCTAACTGAACTTGTTAATGAATAGAATAAAGCGTTTCTGTTTACATATTTACGCACTCTTACTTAGTTGTCCTAAGATATTCTGAATTCTTGGTCCTCGCAGTATACTAATCGTAACTCGAAGTTTAAAACATGATAATTTTACATACTATGAATAGAAGTAGAATATTACTAATTAATAGTAATTATTATATTAATTACGCGCAGCAGCGTGTGTAAGAATACAGTACAAAATATTAGTTCCATGAATGATCCCTAATGTTTTCGCTAACAGAAAAAACAGATAAAACCACACTATACAATAGTATACATTGTAACTCCCAAGGATAAATTAAAGTTAACAGCAATATCATTGTATTTTGCACTACCAATATGATAATTTATCATTGTTGATAACTTGATATATTCGACAAGCTACGAACTGCGCGCCGGTGCCTTGCGCACTATACAACCATTTTTCAGATATTTATATTCATCGTACGATTTTTTCAGTAATGATAGTGTCTGTTTATTTAAGGAATAAAGTTCATGTTGTGTAACAATATGATAATATAACCGCATCCCGTATTGATAAACAGTCGATTAAAAACTGAGATGATTCAGAGCTCAAGTGTTAATTAGCGTGACTGCCTTGTGTACCAGCCTTTTTCATTTAAAGCGCAGACAAATTCTCACGGACACGCCTTAGTTCATTTATAAATATTTTTACGGAACCCATCAATTACAATTGTCTTAGTCATCTCAGATCTGCAAAAGGCGTCTATGGTTACCCTAGTAAGGGAAATAAACTTATATATACATGCCATGTTTTGGCAACAAAAGCATCACATTCATTTCCAGATGCCACGACCATTAATTAATACGCATTATGTTCCGTTGTTATATTTATGAACATTCTGCTTCATGACGAATCATGTAACGCTTTTCTGGTTATTCGTGATCAACGAAGCAGAAAGAACTATATTTATGGTTTCGTCTACGTGTAAGTATAAGTTTCATATTCAAAGTTTGTGCCTTTAGTTATTACGGCCGGGTGCTTACTTGGTTTTGGTTGATTCTAAATTTCCTTTCCCTTACTAAAAAATTTCAATAATTCAAGTATATTTCAAATTTCAAATGTCAAATATCATCCAGCAAGTGCTGGCAAGAAAGTTGAAGAAACTGACTAATGTTGAAAAAAGTCCAGTAAAAGCTGTAGACCACATCAACATACTGCAGGCTGTTCTGACAATTTTGCAGATTATCGTGACGAAATTCACTAAAATACGAATACTTTATACAAAAGGACTACGAGTATCTTTATCTTTATATCCATACAATCTTACCGACCAAAACGTATTTATGCGCCGTTTTTATAGACTCGTCAACGCGTGGTCAGTTTTAGTCCAGCTTGGTCTTAAAAAATTCCATATTTTCCATAGGTGTGCCAATAGATTTTTGTTTTTTTTAATTAACCAGTGGTCAGAAGATGGTTCCACCAGGTCTTAAGTATAGGAAACGTAAAGAGCACTCGAAGAAGTATTCACTACTGCAGTCTGCACAGCAATACAAAGTAAGTACTCGTACTTAACATGATGACTGTAACCACGGAGACTATAGCGGATACATATTAATACTTCCTTTTTAGTATATATATAGATAATAATTGTTACGAGGTATGTGAGCAATAAATTAGTACCCAAACGTCCATAAAAGGTACATCGCCCAGTATGTCGCTTATACAGTACCTATACGTCACAACGTAAAACATCAGAAGTCAGAACGTCAAAAAACAGAACGTCAGGTAATCCGAACGTGAAAAATCAAAAACGTCAGAAATTTAGAACGTCAGAATATCAGAACGTTAGAACGTCAGAAGGTCAGAATGTCAGAACGTGAAAAATTAAAAACGTCAGAACGTCAGAAATCCAAAATGTCAGAACGTTAGAACGTCAGAATATCAGAACGTTAGAACGTCAGAAGGTCTGAAAGTCAGAACGTGAAAATTAAAAGCGTCAGAACGTCAGAAATTCAGAATGTCAGAATATCAGAACGTTACAACGTCCGAATATTAGAACGTTAGAACGTCAGAAGGTCAGAAAGTCAGAACGTGAAAAATTAAAAACGTCAGAACGTCAGAAATTCAGAATGTCAGAACGTTAGAACGTCAGAATGTCAGAACGTTAGAACGTCAGAATATCAGAACGTTAGAACGTCAGAAGGTCAGAAAGTCAGAACGTGAAAAATTAAAAACGTCAGAACGTCAGAAATTCAGAATGTCAGAATATCAGAACGTTACAACGTCCGAATATTAGAACGTTAGAACGTCAGAAGGTCAGAAAGTCAGAACGTGAAAATTAAAACGTCAGAACGTCAGAAATTCAGAATGTCAGAATATCAGAACGTTAGAACGTCAGAATATCAGAACGTTAGAACGTCAGAAGGTCAGAAAGTCAGAACGTGAAAAATTCAAAACGTCAGAACGTCAGAAATTCAGAATGTCAGAATATCAGAACGTTACAACGTCCGAATATTAGAACGTTAGAACGTCAGAAGGTCAGAAAGTCAGAACGTGAAAAATTAAAAACGTCAGAACGTCAGAAATTCAGAATGTCAGAATATCAGAACGTCAGAACTTTAGAAAGTCAGAACGTTAGAACGTCAGAATATCAAAATGTCAGAATGTGAAAAATTTAAAACGTCAGAAATTCAGAACGTCAGAATATCAGAACGTTAGAACGTCAGAATATCAGAACGTTAGACCGTCAGAAGGTCAGGAAGTCGGAACGTGAAAAATTAAAAACGTCAGAACGTCGGAAATTCAGAACGTCAGAACTTTAAAACGTTAGAAGGTCAGAACGTAAGAACGTCCGAACGTAAAAAATTAAACCTTAGAACGTTATTACGTCTTATGAAATACGACTACAAAAGCGTATATACGATTTCAATCTTAGTCTTAAATAAATCACATTTTCCATACCTTCCCAATTATCCAAAATTTTACAATTTCCTGTGTGCTTATGTCTCATTTGAAAATATTCATAATTTCCAGTACCTAAGTGCCGAGCGCAAATGCGCGAGGCTACCTTGTATTCATACAATCTTACCGACCAAAACGTATTTATGCGCCGTTTTTAGAGACTCGTCAACGCGTGGTCAGTTTTAGTCCAGCTTGGTGTTAAAAAATTCCATATTTTCCATAGGTGTGCCAATAGATTTTTGTTTGTTTTTATTAACCAGTGGTCAGAAGATGGTTTCACCAGGTTTTAAGTATAGGAAACGTAAAGAGCACTCGAAGAAGTAAGTATTGTATTCACAGCACAGTTATAAAAAGTCCTTAACACAATGACTGTAACCACGGAGACTATAGCGGATACATAAATACTTCTTTTTTAATGTAGATGAAAAATTATTATGTGAGCAGCAAATTACGTAAACGTCCATAAAAGGTAAAGTACATCGCCCAGTATGTCGCCTGTACAGTATCTATACGTCGGAACGTAAAAACATCAGAAGTTAGGACGTCAAAAGGCAGAACGTCAGGTAATCCGAACGTGAAAAATCAAAAACGTCAGAAATTCAGAACGTCTGAATATCAGAACGTAAGAATGTTAGAACATCAGAATGTCAGAAGGGGAATTAAAAACGTATATCAGAACGTACGTTAGAACGTCAGAACATCAGAATGTCAGAATGTAAAAAATAAGAAAAAGTCCGAACGTTAGAACGTCAGAATATCAGAACGTTAGAACGTCAGAATATCAGAACGTTAGACCGTCAGAAGGTCAGGAAGTCGGAACGTGAAAAATTAAAAACGTCAGAACGTCGGAAATTCAGAACGTCAGAACTTTAAAACGTTAGAAGGTCAGAACGTAAGAACGTCCGAACGTAAAAAATTAAACCTTAGAACGTTATTACGTCTTATGAAATACGACTACAAAAGCGTATATACGATTTCAATCTTAGTCTTAAATAAATCACATTTTCCATACCTTCCCAATTATCCAAAATTTTTACAATTTCCTGTGTGCTTATGTCTCATTTGAAAATATTCATAATTTCCAGTACCTAAGTGCCGAGCGCAAATGCGCGAGGCTACCTTGTATTCATACAATCTTACCGACCAAAACGTATTTATGCGCCGTTTTTAGAGACTCGTCAACGCGTGGTCAGTTTTAGTCCAGCTTGGTGTTAAAAAATTCCATATTTTCCATAGGTGTGCCAATAGATTTTTGTTTGTTTTTATTAACCAGTGGTCAGAAGATGGTTTCACCAGGTTTTAAGTATAGGAAACGTAAAGAGCACTCGAAGAAGTAAGTATTGTATTCACAGCACAGTTATAAAAAGTCCTTAACACAATGACTGTAACCACGGAGACTATAGCGGATACATAAATACTTCTTTTTTAATGTAGATGAAAAATTATTATGTGAGCAGCAAATTACGTAAACGTCCATAAAAGGTAAAGTACATCGCCCAGTATGTCGCCTGTACAGTATCTATACGTCGGAACGTAAAAACATCAGAAGTTAGGACGTCAAAAGGCAGAACGTCAGGTAATCCGAACGTGAAAAATCAAAAACGTCAGAAATTCAGAACGTCTGAATATCAGAACGTAAGAATGTTAGAACATCAGAATGTCAGAAGGGGAATTAAAACGTATATCAGAACGTACGTTAGAACGTCAGAACATCAGAATGTCAGAATGTAAAAATAAGAAAAGTCCGAACGTTAGAACGCCAGAATATCAGAACGTTAAAACGTCAAAAGATCAGAACGTCAGAACGTGAAAAATTAAAAAACATCAAAACGTTAGAATGTCAGAATATCAGAAAGTTAGAACGTCAGAACATCAGGATGTCGGAATGTGAAAAAATAAGAAAACATCAGAACGTAAGAACGTCAGAAGTTAAAACCGCCTGAAGATCAGAACGTCAGAAAATCAAAACGTGTAACATCAGAACGTCAGAATGTAAAAATTAAAACCTTGGAACGGTAATACTCCTTATAGAACCCGACTGCGAAAGCGTAGATGCGATTTCAGTCTTATTCTAAAACAGATCACATTTTCCATACTTTCCTAATTTCCAATAAGTTTTATAATTTATAATTTCCAAATTATAATTATAATTTCCAATAAGTTTCCAATAAGTTTTATAATTTCCAATAAGTTTTATAATTTCCAATAAGTTTTGTAATTTATAATTTATCGGTCAGAACATCAAAACGTCAGAAATTCAGAACGTCCTAACGTCAGAACATCAAAACGTCAGAATATCAGAAGGTCAGAACGTGAAAAATTAAGAACGTCGGAACGTCAGAACATCAAAACGTCAGAAATTCAGAACGTCCTAACGTCAGAACATCAAAACGTCAGAATATCAGAAGGTTAGAACGTGAAAAATTAAGAACGTCAGAACATCAAAACGTCAGAAAATCATAACTTCAGAACGTGAAAATATCATAACGCCAGAACGTAAAAATTAAGAACGCCAGAAATTCAGAACGTCAAAATATCAGAACGTCATAAAATTAAGAACGTTAGACCGTCAGAACGCTAGATTTTTAATATTTAAAGTGACCTTTCCAAAATAAAGCGAATACTATCCAGTACTTAAGTGCCGAGCGCGGATGCGCGAGGCTACCTTGTACTAATGTTAAATACGAGTACAAAACGACTGTAGTACTACTGACACGCATTATAATTACGGCACTATACAGTAAATGAGTAGTGTGGCTACTCAGTAGTACTGTAATAAGGTACTGGTATAATCATGGGAAGACTTTAACGAAGTCACATAATTTCAGACTTATTCGTTCGGTCTGCCACAATAAAATATTACTAACGTAATGATTTTTCTGTGCTGATTAATAAGTTGTCCAGTCTGAAAGGTTCGATTGATCGGCAAAACGCTACTCTAATAAGTAGTGTTCTAAGACGCCGCATAGAGCTATATAAGGAATTTTTTTTCAGGTTATTTGCCTGTAACGGTTTAATAGCAGCGCAATAGCAGTGCTACTAAAAATTGCAGTTTTTGCAAACTTTTGACAACGCTGTGTTGCAGTAAAATAACTTAAATTTAAGGAGAACTCAGAACTGGCAACACTAGTTTTGGCAACCTTTATTGAATTTTGTTTTAACCTTTTCAAAAATTATATAGTGTAGAGTACGGCTAACTTGTAAATTGTAATAGTTAAAAAATAATTCATAAATCTAAGTAACCTTAAGTGAATAACGCATTTCCGAAACACATGCGCAATGATTAGTCGATTTATGGTAAAAAATGTCTAATATTTCACGATTCGTTGAGTTTTAGCTGGTTCACGCAACAATAGTTCTAATAAACATCTTACATCCAAAAAACTAGTTATGCTGGCATTTATATACTCGTATATAGTACAGATACTCGTACTGACGATGAGATACAGCGAACAACACATCTGTATCCGAACGTGGAATGGATTCTTATTACTCTAAGTAGGCCAGAAAAGGATTATCCGATATGCCGCTAGAAGAGAGGAGTGAAATATAATTACAAATTCACCTTAAGAAACCCTAACTGGTTTTAAACTGGCTTTCCTTGAAAGAAGGAATCATTTCTCCATAAGACAGCAATAATTTCCTTATTCATGTGGCGGGTCATACATACATATATATATGTGTATTCAAACGTCGCGTCTGTATCATCAGGGCACGATTTCAATAAACGCGCCTCCTTAATTCAAGTAGGACTACAATTGTCATATTCGTGTGAATTCACAAATATCCATCAATAAGGCACAACGAAAAATGAGACGCATGCCATTCTGAAACAACCCGCTCCACCCAAGGACCACTACACAACACAGCACACTGACCCATTTTCCTTCCCTGGACACAACCAAGCGGCACGAGCATAGACTGTTCGTTCCACAATCAAGAAGTAATTACTTTGCAATCATTCATTTCGGTTCTGGCGATTTTTTAATCCGATCACATATCCACAAGGCCTTTACAAGACTCAAGCACATTACGATAAGCCGAAAGTTCCGCACCATCACCGCTTAGAGTTGGACAGAAACAGTGCACAGTTAACTAAACCTACTGGAAACGGTTACTTCAGCTCATAAGCATAAGTCAGCGGAAGCTGGTGCCCCTGGTTTCAGCCACTTTGGGGTTTTGTTTCTTCACGGTCGGCCAAAGTTTTGGCTTCCTTTCCCCTCAGTCTGCGCACTGAACTATCGGAAACGAGGACAACAAAGGTCTATTTAAAACAATAGAAATTCGCGTGATTCTGCCATGACTCCAACTCTTCGCTCGCTTTTCGTGCGGCCGCGGTCCTTGTGTCGAACAAATTTGTTAAACGTCAATAATATGTTAAGAAGTTTGTTTAATTGCTTTTCCTTGACAAAAAACTACAAAGTTTGTTACCCAGTTGGAAAATACAGAAGTTTGGCCTTTAAGGGACCAATTTCCCACGTCCGTAAGCACTTCGCTGCTTAAACTGGGCCTGCTGGACAACTGGACAATTACAAGCTCGATCTAAATAAAAATCCATATTTAATATTATCACGCTTCAGTTGCCGAATTCGCTTTAGTTGTCGAATTTTTTATGTAGAATTTATTTTTTTTATGTATGATGACTATGATCATACATAAGCAAGGCTTAAACAAAAAGCGCCTGAGCTTCCTAATCAATATTCATCACCACTTCCATTCTCCTGCTGAAGACCCAATAACTCGTGAGATACACTGCGCGGATAGCTACAAAGACTACGTCGGCTCAGTGGAGGTCAACCTAGCAATTGCTTTAGCTTCCTTTTCTTTCTTCTTCTGAGCTTTCGCGAGCTTCTTGGCTTCTTTTTCCTTCTGTTCCAATAACTCCTGAAAGCGAGGATCGCGCGGATCCACTTGAAAACCAAGGAGTTCGCGTGCTTCTTCCATCAGTTTGGCGCGCTTAGCCTTCTCAGCTTCCAGTGCTTCTTGGACTTTCCTCTGCTTCTCTTCGAAAGCACGAATTTCTTTGGGCATGTTAGCCATATTTCGCTCTACTTCTTCGTCATATAAGCGCGTCTCCTCCTCAGTTTTCTTTTTTCTTTCAGATACGACTGTCCAGGACTCCTGCAGCGTTGGAATTCCTAAATCTTTCTCTCGCTGTATTGTACGAACTGCAATTTCAAACATTAAAAATTAAAACTCTGAATCAAAATATTCATGCCTTACAGTGAACCATATCTGTACTTATAACCCGTAACTACACCTTTGTACATGACCACATCTTGGATCTTGACTTTCAGAGAAGACGTAATGCAATAATAATTAAAACCTGCGCTAAAAAAAACAAAACCACAAATTCAACTAAAAACCTTGATTTCTCGTAACCTAAAGAGCTCCAACATGCAGCCAGAATAAATGTCAAACCACCTTGACCATACAATCGCAAAAGTCTAAAAGCCCCAAAGATTCGTTCCACGCAAAGAAAACACTAATAAATGCTAAACGGGAAATGATAAGCACATCCAAACGATACTATGCGAATTACACATTATCCTAAGAAAGTAAACGACACCAGCCAGGTACAATGGAAAATTAGTTCACCAAACACCTTTAAAAATTTTCAGTGCATACTGCAGCATACATCATGAAACATGTGCATTATGTCGTAATTCCATGAGGCGATGATACAATATACGGCTTTAAACGCATTTTACGCTTATAATAAACGCTACAAATATTTTTTAAAACTTACGGATCTCTTCCCGACTTGGCCACATTACTCCCGGCTTGATTCCGGATTTTCGGCCAAACCTCGCATATTGTTGACGCATATACTGTGCAGAATTCTGGAATTTGAAGTAGTTCTTTGGTGGCTTGTTGACATGCGCCATACGATCTCGGAGATGAGGAGCCATGCGTGATACATCCCGCGCTATCCTCTCCTTGTCATAAACTTCTCCGTCAAAGCTTAAAAGAGAAGCGACTAACGAAATCGGTTACGACGCCCGCATTTAGAGCCTCACAAGTTTTCCGTACCTGGTAAACGTCCACGGTCCTTCACCATCTTCTCCACGGCTCAAAGCGCTCGCAAGATCGCTTTTGGGTTCTATATCAGGATAAAATTCAGTGGCTTTCTCTAATTCTTTGGGATTGACTTTATTGCTGGCCCATCGCACGTGAATAACACTGGAAGGAGCAGCAAAGATTTGGACACATAACCGAGAACTCAATACACAGCTCCATGAAAACGACATTCTGTCCGTATTTCGCAATAATCGAAGCGCAACTTGCTCTCTCTCGTATTTTTATTACATCTGGGAAAAACTAACAGTAATATGTAATAAATGTCGTTGTTTACTTGATCGTCAGCATTTAAAAAAACAAAGCACCGCTAATTAATTCATTTTCAAATTAAACCAGCAGAAATTTTGTGAAAATTTGGAAAAAACGTTTATCAAAAAATGTGCAGTAAAGAGCTGAGCATTCTTTGGCCGCCTGCCGGTGAGAGGGCGGAAGTTCTGCTGCGATATAAACGTAAGACCTTCCATCCCGATGGGACGCGCAGGCCAACCGGAGAAAGGAGATTTTCAGCTCACTGGACAGCGTCATCCGTCGGTGCCGACGCACTTGCGCCCTATGGAACACCCTATGGGCGACCTCTGTTCATCAAACAGCTGCACCGGGAGCTAATCTCGGATTGAATTCCACCGATGTATGTATATTGTATACTTCTACCCGTAAACTTTTGCTTAAATATTTTTTATATGCGTTGTAGTTGTGAACAACAGACAAACCGTTCCATTAAAAAAAGGTAAGACAGTATAATTATTATACCGGCAAACGTTAAAATGATCAGACAATAGACACATTACTACGAGTAGTGGATTAGTTAATACATTATTGTATTAGTAGCAGATAATATATTACTTCAGTGAGAGTATAGATTTGTATATAAATTATGATAAGATTCACTTACGCTTACGGATATTATTGTACGAACATGCATGTACTGTATTTACTAGTCATGGCAGTAATCAGTTCTGCGAGTTTCTGCTCATCTAATGCTGTAGTTGCATGTGGGTAATTCGTATTTACAAATTTGCAGAATTTGAAGTTGTATTCGTGCAGTGCTGCTGTACGCAGCTTATCAATAAACAGTCGGCTCGACTTAATTTTAAGACATTTACACAGCATCTAAAATTACATGTACATACTGATGTATAATATGTGCATATCGCACCAGTGTGTTGCACAGACTCTGCAGTTAAAGTGTAAATTAATTATTACAGCAAGCACCTGCAGTTTGTGGATAATGAATTTCATAAACCCGAAAGCAATTTCTACGTAAATGTTTTCATTAGTGTGCACTGTTAATCAATGTAATTAACCATGGGGAACGAAAAGGAGTATCATAGTGGCCGCATTGGACACCGTCATGGACTACTGTTATTGTCATTCTTGGGAACCTTGTTCATGTACTCAACAAGAGCCAATCTTAGCATGTCAATGGTTGCGATGGTTTCTCCACCTGTTGATTCGAACAATAAAACACCCAGCGAAGCGAATTCCACTTTTCCAGTAGCTTGTCCCCATTTGGTAATGCAACAGTCCAGTCAGCATTATTTGCCTTCCAGTAATGTTTCCGATAAAGCAAAGGTAAAGTTAATCTGTACAATACACTGTACTTAATTATATAGATATATTGCAGAAATAAAGATACTGTTCAGAGATGCAATAAATTGTGCCCCAGTGCAATACATAAGTATAAATTTTGTTTTTTCGCCAATCACAGGTCAAGCGCAAATACAACTGGGACTCCAGTAAACAAGGATTATTGCATTCCGCGTTCTATTATGGTTATCTGCTCCCGCAAGTTTTTGGAGGATGGATCTCGCACAGAATTGGCGCAAAGCTTCCTATTGCCGTCAGTGTGGGATCAATCGGTATTTTGACGATCATATCTCCGTTTGCGGCCGATCTTGGTTCATGGTGCTTTTTTTCTGTGAGACTGCTGATTGGGCTGGGACAGGTATGCAAACGCAAAACTTTTTGAACACACTCATATTAATATCACGATTCTCCAAATATGGAAACAAAACACTGAATGTACAGTACTCGTGCAATGCTTACTTAATTAAAATAAAGCATTACAGTTTTTCCGTTTTGCGCACTTTCATGTTCACTTCCGTATGAGTGCGAAAGTTATTCATTTGGCAATCAAATATTCAGATAACTTACGGATCAGTGATCAAAAATGGTGTTGCAGGGAGTCGTGTTTCCGTCGTTAACCGTGCTCTGGACCACATGGGCTCCTCCATTAGAAAGAGGACGGTTGCTAGCAACAACGTACACGGGCGCACAGTTGGGCGTGGTTTTTGGAATTTCACTTTCCGGTGTTTTAGCAGAGGTAAACTAGTCATAGACTCCCAATTTGCCGCGGCTTTCGGAACTACGATTTAAAGCCGGTCGTATAACAAAATGGCTTGATTTTATAAACGATATGCTACTTTCGGTAATTAAAGTATTACACGAAACAGATCAACAGAACTTCGTGGCTAACAGCAAATTTATTTTTGCACGCTTGCGTAAATTTTTAATTTGTTGGTGGAAAGCTGTATAGTGCGACATAATTATTACTACATGAAAGTTGCATTTTTGTGACAGGCACTGGGATGGGAAAGCATATATTACTTTTATGGTAGTATTTGTTGTGTATGGACTATTTTTTGGTTGCTGTTTGCGTACGACTCACCGGATCGTCATCCCAAGATATCACATGCTGAAAAGACATACATCAGACATTCCTTGATTCGCCCAAATAGCGATTCCAAATTAAGCGACGATTCCAATTCTGACATCGATAAAGGAAATGTTCCGTGGTCGGGAATATTGCGAACGGTCCCCTTTTGGGCGCTCCTCGCGGTTGAATTCGGACATAACTGGGCATTCTACACCTTGCTGACAAACTTACCGACATATTTAAGCAACATTTTGCACTATTCGCTTAAATCCAACGGCGTGTTATCCGCATTGCCCTACACGCTGCGTTTTGTCCTCACCATGATATCCTTATTTGCGTCGGATTGGATACAGTCACGCCAACACTGGTCGACAACATTTCTGCGGAAATTCTTTTCACTCGGAGCCTTTCTGGGATGTGGAGCGGCGTTGGTGGGTGTGGCTTTCTCGGGTTGCAACAGTACTTTAACGCTCGTCCTGTTCACCTTTGGTGTGGGCATTTCCGGGTGGGTGTTTGCTGGTTACATCATTAACTATACCGAAATGTCACCACGTTACGCAGGCATCATTATCGGCATGGGAAATACGGTGGGAACAACGACCGGCATAATTGCGCCGCTCTTGGTTGGTGTGCTGACCAATGGTCCAGGAGGTCATTCGGTGGAGAACTGGCGAATTGTTTTCCTAATTTCCGCTGCAATGTACTTTGTTATATCGGTCATATACAGTGTTTTTGGCTCTGCTGAAAGGCAGAAATGGGACACTGTGCAAAGGAATCGACAAGAGGAAGTTTTGTTAAAGTGATCTTTGAATCGCGATCGGTGTCCATATAAGTGGCGGTAGACCGTATGCAGTACTTAAAGTATACCAATTGCAAATATAAAAATATGTGATTAAAAATAATCTTTAAATAATAATATGTTAACGCTCACTGAAAACTAAATCAAAACGAATTTATGCGACAGCTAATTATAAAAATGCGGTTTAGTAATTGCAGTATTAAAATCAACATTGCTGAGTTCTAACTCGTGTGCAGAATTAAGCTTTTTCCCAGTTCTATCTGTACACGAGCGTAGATATAAGTTCGCTGTTTTGCAGACTTTATCTAATACGAGTACATTCACAGATCTCCACATTGTTTCTTTAAAATTGCAAGCATTAGCCGGTTCTGCCTAATGTAATTTAATAGACGTAGATTTCCTATGGGTTAAAAGTATTTACAGTGTTATCTGAAATGGCTTTAACAATATCGTAAATCTTGTTGTAGGTGGTGTGAAGAGTTGAAAGTTTTGTGAACCTGTACACAAATTAAGTAAGCAAATAATATCAGCTAGATAGAAAATATGAGCACGTTGTCCAAAAACACGGTTGCATTACTACCAAGCGGTAATATTGATAATACAGCGAAGCATTTCATTTCCTATCCTTCAAAATACGGAACAAATAAGTAGAATTGTTATGAAATGTAACTGCGCAAAATTTTTGTTATTTCTAATCTCCAGTGTGTCTCCAGTTCTTCTGGGATAAAATGTGATTTGACTGGCAAAGGTCTTTAATTTCACTACAGCTTTCACTGCGTTGCAACACACTGAAATTCAAGTATTACGGCCCTTTAATTTTCTTAGGCCGACTTGAGAATATTATAACATTGTAGTAAATCATCGCATCCCAACTTTGCGCATATACGGCCATGGATCACATGCCGGATTCGTCTTATAATTCTCGTACAAGACGAAGTAGCCACTCATCTGCGAGCACTATATCAGAACGCTCGCATAGATCTTCATCGAGGTTTTCGGAACATCCAGAGTCTGATACAGATCAAACAGTTAGCAGAAAATCAAGTTTCTCAACGAAATCAAACGAAACTGCCCTCGAAGTGTCTGTTCCCCAACAGGCAGCTGCAGCATCAAAGGGTCACAACGAACAACGTAGCCTTCCAAAAGAAAGGAAGAAAGCAAAGGTATACCATTTATTGTTAGTTCAGTACCATAATATTAATTCAGATGCTCTAAAGATCTTCAGTTATGTTTGTATCTATACTTATTTTTCGCTACCAAATTTCGCTGTTGGTGGTGGTATTCCGGATCGAACAGCGCTATATATGGCTAACGTTATTCTATTATTTTACAGAACCAAAAGGACACTTGGTGTGTAACCGTTTGGATCACAATCATTTTGATAATTCTTTTCTCTGTCGGCGCTTTCGTCGGTGGTAAGTCTTTGCGTTAGCACTTAGCAGTAACCGTCAAAATTCAACGCAAAATTAATTTTATTGAGTGTTTAACAACCACCAAAAACTGTGGTACTTTCTTTCAGCATGCCGTTTAAATGCGTACACCAGTGTTCAGTTTTTAAGCGAAATTTCATTCTAGTACTGAACAATATTAGTGTTTAAATACCGAACCCACGTATGCATATCCTAACAAAAAAATGCTTTACTTCATTGTTAATTTTGGCAATGGAACAGCAAACTGATCCCACCCAGCTGCACGCAAACCAATTAATGTTTAGGTTACATGCTAAAACAGTCCCAGGATTCCTCTCTGGCTCCGTCACCAAACATTTCCTGGAAAACACTTCCGTGCATTTTCTCCACGATAAACGAGTGTCAGGGGTATGGTATTGTATTCTGTACCTGCAAATGATCTCAGCAGTTTGTGCTAGCGGTAAATTTCTCGTCTTGTTAAGTCGTGGAAAACGCTTCCGGCAACGATTTTAAAAATATGGTCGCCGCAGGAATAATCGTGGGCACGTCTTGTTAATCTCCCTTGGAGCATTTCCGCCTTCGCTCCTTACGGATCAACTCACTCCGACTTTGATGAAAATAAAATCATGCGGTACCTACAGTGCGTCGCTACGACCGGTATTCCCGACGATATCAATAACTAATCAGTACAGCATAGCCACTGGACTGTATGCTGAATCCCATGGAGTTGTCGACGATTACTTTCGCGATAACGAGATCATTGTGGACGCTGCGAACAATATGCAGAATCCAAGCTGGTGGAAGGGAGAACCGATATGGGTCACAGCCAAAAAGCGTGGATTTAAAGTCAAAGTTGCAGGATGGAAAGGAGGCGATGTGCGTAAACATAATCTCTAGATCTGGTAATAACATTACACTGCGGGCTACTTAATCGGTATTTTAAGGCTTTTCCGAAATGGTTTGGTTAGATGGCAAAAGACGGCATTCTTCCGGATGACTACATTAAAGGAAGACAATCAGTATCGCTTGAAGAACGTCTCAGGAAAATACTGGAGTGGATATCGGAATCTAGCCCGAATTTGGTCGTAATCCATTTTGATGACCTTTCCGAGACGCGTGAGTTCATGCATCGATTTTTTTAATCTTCTGACGTAATATTTTGCAGCAAACAGATATTTTACGTTAAGAATCGGCCAGTAATATATGGTGCAAAACTGATGCGCGATTAATATGTAAAAAATCCTTTGTACGAATATTAAGTGTATTGCTCTGAATTCTTCCTAGTACGAAGCAACGCTCTCAGCAGTCCGGCGGTGGAGCGAGTGCTGAAAGATATTGATGGGGCTTTGGATCGCCTATTCCAACAACTTCATGAACGAAAAACCTTAAGTTGCACTGACATTGTGATTGTTTCCGATCATGGAATGATGGAACCAAGGAATTGTGCATCGGGCAATATTATGTCAGTCCTCAACAGGAAGATTCTGAATGAGACTGTGTGGGAACAGGATATCGTCTATTTTGGGGTGTGTTCAGCCCACAGAACGAATATTTCTACGACAACTGCTTACTTAACCATTGATTTTTTGTAATTAAGAATGCAACACATGTTTCTACAAATTAATATGTGTAAAAATATCGGTACTGTATTTTTAAATTAGGAAACTTATGGTCGCCTCTCAATGCTCAATCGAAGCCGGTTGTCTTTACAAAGAGTCATCGAAGCTTTGTCGTGTAATCATTCCAGCATGAGTGACGAAAGAATGCCATATTATCTGATGCAAAGGACAGAAATGTTTCCGGTGCGATTGCACTACGCAAATTCTCCTCGAATAGAAAATCTGCTTTTTCTGATTACACCGGACAGGATACTAACGAAGACTTCACAAAGTGGGATTTGCCAAAGCAAAAAAAACTTATACGGCTATGATAACATGTTTAGCCAAATGCATGGATTATTTTTTGCCTATGGACCGTCGTTTCATTCCGGGATGACTCTGAAAGGGTTCAGTGTGACTGAAATTTATAATTTGTTGTGCACCATCTTGAAAGCTGTCCCGGCTCCTAATAATGGAACAGACCGACTTGCTCTGGCGTTGCTAAAATATCCCGTGTCACCAGGCGATTCAACAGGACAACCCGACCGATGGAGTTACCACAGAGCTGATTTCCCGATGACTCGAGAAGTTTTGCTACAGCGACAAGACCGAACATGCAGTACAAACTGCTATTTTGCTGTAAAAATTATGTAACAAACTGTAGTACAAGAACTAATAAGAAACCTAATTTAAACTTGCTGAAAATGCGTAGGCGCATACTTTATGTTAATTATAACCCACGGCAAATGATAAAAAATGGCATCAATCTTTGTTAGGCGGAAGTGGATGTTCTTGCAGCCGATTTGCAACTGAACATTTCGTCGTCTGCAGGATCATTGATTATGGCAGCTGCTGGTTTTTATGGCTTACCTATCCCAAATAATATTAACGTCCGCAACAGCTTCCGTTTGCTCATCAATCGGGAATTCGTAATCGGGTTTAATGTTGCACTAAAACTGCCGTTATGGACTTCCTGTTTTCTTCAAACCGACAAAATGGTAAGTGCCACTGCTAGTTGGCCATGGATTGGTCTTGATCTATCTTTTACCAATACTCATGATTACGTTTCCACTGAAAAAATGTCCAAATAGAATTAAGCCAGTAATCTTGTATTATAAGGCGTATTAACGGAAACAGTACCTCTTATTACGTAACGAAATTTTAAACAGACACCAGACTCTACGGTGGACTGTACTCGCAACGATGTGCGTCTGGAACGCGGTGAATTCATATTATGCCGGGATTTCGATAATTTCGCTCAATTCCAATCATCCAGACTCATGCCCGCATATCTGGTGCCTCCCGGTAACTATTTCCTTTTCATGGTTTAGGCTTAAATTTTAAGTAGATGCGTAAATTTATTAAAATGCTATCTCACAGCTCTAAACGATGACATCGCAGTTGGTGCGGATGGACGAATGATTTCCAATATCGTCCCTATGTATCAAAATTTCCGAACATCTATCTGGCAACCTTTCTGGGAAATGGCTAGAGGGTGGATCGCACGAAACGGACCTATTCACGTTTATTCCGGGCCTGTTTTTGATCATAAAATTCCACTGGGAACTGCAGATGAACAGGAACAGATACTGTACGTTTTATTTGCGTACAGTTAGCAACGTCTTCATGTTCCTAGACCAGTAAATGTTACATGTATGAAAGGCCCGACTTACAATCAGGCAGTATGACTTAAGATCTGTTTGTTTCCAGGTTTTCTCAAGAACTGCCCAATGTCCATTTGCCATCACACTACTTCGTTATTGTCACTCGCAAAGTCTGGGATAACAGCAGCGTTGTATTAGATGCAACCGAAGACGAATGCATGGCATTCGTGTTTCCGCATCTCCCAGATACTAGCCAGCATCCCTGTCAGGTACGAGTGTATTAGTAAGGTCACTAAGTACCAGCTTTGTGGCGGCTATATACACAAATGTTCGAAGGGTTTTTCACTCATACTGATATGTTTTGCGGTCGATTGTATCCAGTAGCACCGAGACAAAATTCACTTACATTGTTGTGATTTTGAATGTTTTTGGTGATTTGAACAATATAATTTTTCAGGACAAAGAAAGCTATTTTTTGACGTACTCAGCCTCCGTCAAAGACGTCGAGCAGCTAACTGGACTGACATTTTTCTCTGCTTTGTCACACCGAAAAGCTGTACATCTGCGTACAGCTCAGCCTTCGAAATTATTTCACAAATGATAAATAAAGTTAATAGTTTCTGCAATGTGTCACACTGCGCAGTTTGTGTACAAGAGCAGATCAGTAGACTTGTTGCACATTTGTACAGTGCATTTGTAATAACTATATCTTTTGAATAACCATTCTTCTGGTGGGTCAGAAATTCGGAATAATGGTTGAGGATGTGTACCATGTACAGTAGCAACCAGAAGTGTGCTCAAAAGCGTTGGTCAATAAAACGATTTTGCATTGTTCCCGTTCTTTCACTTCTTAGCGCTTAAAAGCCATTGTGATTTCCGTGCAATTTCAGTGCATTCTCGTGAAATTGAAGGTACATGTTCCAGCTCAAAATGAGAAGGTGTCCTTTTTTACTCCTTCTCATCGTGTCAAAGGAGAAACAGAATACATTGAATAGAACACATTACTCTCAAGAGTACCCTGAGTGATTAACCGGCTGGGCATAGTCCACCCTGTTAATTATCCATGTTCATTCTCTTGCCAGTTGGACCCTGCGGGAAGAATGTTAAAGGTTTATTAATAAGGCCATAACGTGTAATCGCCAGGGCGGTGCTAAGCACTGCAGTGCTGGCCGGAATGCGATTTATCGCTGAATTAGTCTTCGAATCAAAATTTGCGGCATATCTTCTCTGTGCAGTGTGTAGACATAAATTTTAACGGATACCGAAAATTTTAATTTAGTTGTTTGTTTATATTTTTGCTGAAAGTACTCAATTAGATAGATTTTACGGCCGCTTCCGTGCACCGCCGTTGCAGCGCCACCCAACGATTGGCCTGTATGCGAGACAGGGAACAGGCAACCCATTATTCACAAATTCACATGATTGACAGCCGCTGTCAACACTGCACAAGCTTGAGCCTTTTATCATAATAATAGAGCAAATTCACCTGGTACTTATGAAATCCACAATTTTCTCACGTCGCGACATTTCGTAGCTACAGTTGCCGGCTTTTTCTTTTTACGGACAGGAACAGTCTTTTGTACAAATGACTAGTAGTATCGTACAACTGGGATTGGGCTTTTATTGTCGAATTATTCGGTATTCGTGTTCTTTACCATTATCAAGTTCCGTAATTATTGCTAACGCTTTTCCGAAGTTTACGCTGTACGAGTACTGACTACTGAGTGTACTCCATGTACTGTTGTGCAGTTTGTTGTGGAGTTTGTCGGCACAGCCGCACAGATCATTTGTTTAAGATTCGTAAGAGTTAAAGTTCGGGTTGCTGCAGTTGAAACTTGGCATTAAGTAATTGTATTGCCGCATTAATGCTGTGAACTTGTTAACAGCATACATATTTATCTCGGAATTTTGCGTCTTGCGTTTGTGAGCTCTGTTGAAGTATTATTAACCTGACTTTGAAATGCCGACGCCGACGTCCACTACAGAAGGGGCCGTGGAAATTCTGTTTGGCAAGTAACCGGCGTCTGGGTGTGACTGCTTAAGTGGAAAACTGACCAGTTTTAAGTTTTCCTACAGGCGTCCTTTTATTGTTGACTTTTCTTGGCGGCATGCAGTGTTATGCGTTATTATAAGTGTTATAATATTTTAAATCATTGCATTCCTCGTTTTTGAATATTATCATCGCTCGCATGGCTGAACGTCTTGAGAATAATATTCTGTAACTGGAAATATTCTTGTGATCATATCGCCGAAAAAGCCCTAACTGACGAGTGCTATTGTGGATTTGAAATCCAGTAAATTGAAGACTACAGCCACTGCTGCTGCCTGTTTCCGCCCCGATCAGAGAAATGCTTCCTAGACTGTGGATAATTGCGGGATTAGCGCTTTTATGCCAGTGTAGAGAAAGGAGAGCCGGAGAGAGAAAGTCGAAGCCTCATAGTGAAACAAAGAGACCACTGGAAAAAGAAAATCGTAAGTCTGCACTGTCCTGGATTGGTTTGAAATTAATTATTGCATTCCGTACTCGTACGTTTAGAATAAGTAATTTTGATAGTTTTCTGTTTTTTATAAGGATTCGGCTACTCAGGAATTCAAGCACCAAAAATATATTGTATCGTATGGTGAAATTTGATTAGATTCCGAATTTTTAAGTGTTGCGCGCATCATTTGTTTTGTGACAACTGCAGTGTTATTACTTATAAGTCGCATAAGCGCGTAGTACATACACAATTATTGTTAATTGAATAGTGAGCCGGGACTTTTAGAATTGTACTAAACATTAACTAACATTTGTGTTGACTCGAATGCATTTGTATTCGACGATTACAGTACTCATTTCTTCAGTGCGTTCTACTTAGATTACGCTTGACTGTTACTATAAAAAACCGTTGTTATTATTATTTGTAAAAAATGTCCCATCCCGCACTTCGCACGCTTGTTGTATGGGTTAATGCAATTATCGGAGGTTTAGAAAAAAACGTGGACTGGGCCGAGTTGATGCTGATATGGTGCAGGGGAATTGTTATGATTTCTTAGGGGATAAATGCGTCACGTACAGATAAGAATTGTTTTGACTTGTGCTTGAAGTACTGCGTACCAAAAGAGGTATGCAGAGCATTTTGACTATATGTTTACTTAAAGGTTATAAATTATGCTCCCTCGTTAGTCATTTTCTCACCTTTCATTCCAAAGTACAGAAACGAGCAGTAACATGCTGTCAAAAACAAAAAGCATCGGACTGACAGATTGGTGATGTATGATTTATGATTTCTTTTACGACATAATTGGCCAGAACCCAGAAAGACGTCTTTCGTAAAATTGCTGAAGTTGCGAAACGGTAACAGGTGGATAGTTCGACATTCTGCATTTTTTTCAAAACTTACAACTAACTTCAAAACTTACCGCTGCAACATGAGATGCGAGAATGCTGTGTGGGTTTTAATTGCAATCACAACCTTAAAACGTGAAAACGATGCTACATGAATCGATCATAATCTTGAAATTAATATTATGTTACTAATTAAAATTGCAGTAATATTGTTGTAGCCATTAATTTGGCCGCCGGAGCCACATGTCTATTTTTGCGAATTAGGTCACAGAATGGATTTAAGGGAATTAAATCGTTTAATTCCCTTATTATCAGTTGATTTAAATGCAAACACCACTGAATTTTTGCAGAATCACATCTCCAGTACTATCAAATTGTGCGCATTGGACACAATGCTACCATCAACTGTGGCGTTCAATTACCGCGGAGCTTCATTCAACCTTTTAATATGGTCACCTGGAAGAAGGACGGTGAAGATCTGGACATGACGGATTACGATGGAATCAAAGTGCGCCTAGGCAACGAAACAGCTTTGTCAAGGATCGTTCTAACAAAGATTTCAGAAGAACATGCCGGGAACTATACTTGCATTGTCGCTCTGGGTGATGGTTCCAGAGCAGCATCGACTTCTGTGCAGGCAATCGAAGTGGACCAATGTAAGCAGAAATGAAATTATGAAACCTATGAGTGGCGCGAGTGCAGATTAATATTTTGCATGACTTCGAAAGGATATTGAAGAGCTAGGTTATTGTCATACTGATGCTTTCGTTCTATAAATTTATTTCAACATTTAGTTTGAGATTTATGCACTGTAATCGAATAATATTATAAAGGACAATGTAGTAATATTGTACTGTCACTACAGTGTTATAAAAGAGGTAACTCTCTGCTACGAAAATCGACCAAGAATCTGAGTGAAAAATCTTATAATTTTTTCATCGACAAGTGATTTTTCCAAACTGTAGCAGTCGATCCTACTATAGCTGCACAAAAATTTGACAATTTCATAATGTTCGAACTTCGCCTCTACTCCTGGTTCGCAATCTTGAAGGCCAGTATAAATTATAGCATATGCCCTTTTTGAAACAGATCTCATGCGTGTAAGTTTGTGGAATACGAGACAAAAGATTACTAGAATTTGCAGAACGGCTTCGCCCTTAGGGAGAAACTTTTTCGAGTGCTTTTTTGTTTAATCTGCAGATTTGTATAGATCTCAAGGTGGTCCAGAGGAGAAGGACCTAGCCTCGTTCTGATGCTTGCATTATGCACTACGGAAAAGTATAGGAGTCCAAAGTAATTAACTACCTGTTGCACTTATCCTCCATTTCCATTATCCGTCTGCAAGTTAGTGTCGCGCCGGTTAAAAGCATACTTAACAGCATGCTGTATTATTACTGCAGTATAGGCTTTATCGTAATCTACTACAGTATTATGCTTACAGTTTTATCTGGTTTTTATTAAAGCGGTTTATACTTTATAGTGATTGTTTTAGAGACCAGTTTATTTTGAAAGGTATATCGACAAACAAAAGCATCGAAAGTGAAAAATTAATAATCGCGTGTAGGTTTTAAAATTATAGTAGTCGAATGCAGAGACGTATTAGTACCTCTGTATTGTATGTATTTAGAATTTTTTACGATCAAAGATCAGAACTATGGAACAGCAGGTTAAAAGAGGTATTTAATATCCGAATGCTCGAAGGTAATAAGAGTATTGCTTCCGAGAGGGCAACATCATGCAGTGAGCATCTGCAGTAACTTGCCTTACCAAAATTCTTGCATATTTTCTTTTAAGCACGCACTCGAAACTTCTGCGCTCTTGAACTGCGACTTGCCTAGCTACTTGTACTGATGAATGCCTTTTGGTGCAGATGTTAGAATCTGGGAAGAGAGCTTGGGGGAAAAGCTGGGCAACTCTGTCGAGAGCAACGCCAGGTCTCCGGAATTGCCGGCATCTTTTGTTGGTGGTAAGTCCTACACCATTATGATTGTTGTATTCGGTTGTCAGCTTGTCGCTGTACGAATTGTAAGTTGTTTCCAATCAGCTATACTTTCGTACGCGCTTGTAGCACTGGTTTTGGTTTACCTATTTAGAAAAACCATACTTTACGGAAAACAAGCGTGCTACGGATTTTTTGAAGTATCTTGTACCCGGTTCGAGCCAAGCTTTCAACTGTGAAGCCGCACCAAAACATGGCCATGACAAAATCACCAAAGTAAAGTGGTTCAAAAACGGAGTGCGGATAATAAACAACGAAAGACCGTGTCCCGATATCGCAGCGGGTAATGCCTTTTACCTATGTCTGCATAACTTGCAAAGGAACGATACGGGACTGTATTCGTGCGAAGTGTCCAATATTTTCGGATCAGTCAATCGTACATTTATCGTCGTTGTTTCTGGTACGCTCTTTTTTGCCTGCGCAATCTACGCATAAATCTGACTTGTTTCACAAAGCGATTTCCTTCCAGCTTCTGCAAGCGAACGAGAATATCCCAGCCCAAGTAAAATAGTGACAACTAAAGAAGCCCTCCCGAATGGACTGTTGCGGCTGCACTGTGAAGTGACCATTGAAATGCCGCTGCCTCTTATTGGCGATACGGTATGGCTTCTGTTTCTGATTGTGAGAGATTTTCGCTTAAACTTATAAAATCTTTTTGTTAGCGGTTATCGATCGCTGGTTCAATTTGTCCAAAGATTCAATAAGTGCTTATTAAAACTCAACTCTGGTGCACCTTTGCAAATATAAATTACGAAACACGAAAAAGAAGTTTAGAAAAAAACATCCACTATGTACTCGCTAGTTGTAGGTGTTAAGTTACAATTCCTTACCAACGACGAAATTTTCAGTGGTGGAAGGTCGACTCTTCTGAATTACTCAGTGTGGAAGAACAGAAACGGTGCAACATGAACCTTATGAATTTGAAGATGTTGCCGTTGAAAAATAGCCCATTGTTTCCTCATATACAAGTTGTAACTCCCATGCCAAACGCCACTGATCTTTGGAATAGGAAATTTCGAAGTTACATCGACATTGACCCGGGAAAAATGCCGGGGGTTTATGTTTGTATGCTCATTTCCGAGATGTCGCACGAATGTGTTGTCCCACCCAGCGTAAACAGCAGAAAAGGTTGGTTGTTCATTTCCCTTGGTAATTCAGATTGATGTTACCGCTCTGATTTTCTCCAGTTACAAAACGACCGCGACTGAATAAAAACGGACGGCTGAAAACTCCTGCATCACCATTAATTATACAAGTTACTACGCAGACGGAAGGTGAGTGGAGTATCCTGCTGATGAACCAGTAGGCTTAGATAATCTGAAAGTGTCATAGGATTGTATTATTTTGCGTTGGCTTCATTTCTAGAAATAGTTAAGACTATATTTTTTATTTATGTGACTGTTGCTTGCTTGCATTCTGAAATTTTGTCACCTTCCAGTTTCAACTATCCTCACTTATAACGAACGACAAAACGAGGTTTCTGGAACACTAGTCAGTGGTGAGTAGCGTAGCTCAGTTTTGCTAGGTTTTTAGGTTTAGAAAATGTCTCTGCTAGTATGTAAGGATTGATCGGCAATGCAAAAAATTGTTATTTTCTTGAAAATTTGGGTGGTGAGGAAAGGCCACCACTCCGAGGTTTTGCTCTTCGTAAAGCTGCTTGAATTTTTAATATAGTTTGCTTTGTTCTTTTCGCTCTTAACAGCCATACTAAAATAATTTTTTCCTACTAGAGTGGTTACGAATGTGCGTTGGTAGTTGTGGTGCTTTGTAGATCCCCAAAAAGTTAACTCCACGGAAATTGCCGGGGTGCACAACGAACCAGCTGTGGTCGCGGGGATTGTTTCCATAGTGCTGATTGTGTTCTTCATCGTGATACTCCCGGCAATCTGCATCGCCTACTCCAAGCACCGGCGGCGGAATGCTACCGACCAGTTGGTTGTGGACAACCGTAATGTTTCGACGAGTCTACGGCGTTCCAACGTGGATTACATTGTTCCCGTCGCTCCACCCTCAACACTGCCGTCTTGCCCATACTCCTCCATGAGCAGACTGAAATTGTCAACTTCCTCAGTAGCCAAGTTGCCTGTTGTGTCGTCCATGCGGAGCAGTATGGAAGACACAAGAGTGAATGTGGAACCGTTTTTGGCTGCGCATCGCAGAAGGGAAACATTCGATGACGATTCATCGGTGTATGAATATTTCAAACATCCTCCGTCAATGGTGTCATCGTACGCGTACAGCGGATACGATGCCAGTCGAGTTTCCCAACGAGCGACGGACTGAATTGTTTGGTTTAGGTGGACGGTGACCTTTTGTGTGTAAATTGCTGATTACATGGTGAGAGACAGTATTTAATCGTTTCCTTCAGCTCGGCTGGGTAATGTTTCTCCTCTTTACCACAGAATGCCAGAAATTAATTAGTGGCCCGTGAATCTGATTAATTTTTTGATTCTCAGAGAGAAGATTTTTTCACGGTTGGAATGTTTTTTGATTTTAGTATTTGAAGAACATTTCCGTACGCACTGTGTATACATAATAAAGGAGCTCTGGCTGGGGTGGTACGATAATTGTAGACTTCTTACGGTAATTGTTACTTTTTGACTTGCTGCTGTTCATTGTTTCGTTTTAATTAACAGCATGAACGGATCAAGAACTGACAGCTCGCACTGTTACAGTTTGTGTTGTTTTGCATGGTTCCCTTGCTGATTACTCAGATAGCATTACCGCGTACTATTTAAACGATATACCATAAATTTATATAAAGAGACGCGTCGTTGGCACTTGGCATTTTCCTCGGGAGCGATCGGGAAATTTAATGCACAGTAGTGGGCGGGAAAACAGCTGTAAATACCTAACTAAAAACTGAATAGCCCGCCCGCTGGTCAGTGGTAGTCTGTGGTAGTGGCCGCTACGGGAAATTTTCCAAAAATCTGAATTCCGCAAACATTAGTCTGAATTCGACAAATTAACAAAATCCAACTTTTTATGAAATTCTTATGGCTTTCTCTCGCCAGCGTCTCGCAAAAACAGTTTAAACCAACTGCCACTTGAACTGAACCAGAAGCAGGAACCCATAACCGGCATTACTCTTTCTTTCATTTTGCTTACTAAGTAAAATCCGTTGACAAGATAAACTTAATTTTCATCACATCATCTAGCACTTTCAGGAAATCTGGAATACAGGTGATCACTGTAGTGACCCATAAAGTAAAAATCATCGGTTTGCGAGGAAATTCCGAAGTACGGATCCGGAATGGT